CGCTTTTGGTAACACATATTGATAGGTTTTACCACATGCTAACCTAATAAACGGGTTCAATTATGTGTAGTCCCGCAACTCGGCAAAGTACAGAGAATTGCCGGAGAATTGATTGACTGGGATTGTTAATGCCAAGTCTTTTTGGGGACCGAAATCAATTCGTTGAAAGTGTTTATTTGTATCATAATCAAAGGTAATGCGCAAATGCATGTTTCTATGCGACATTGCTCAGGTGATGAAGAAGCTATACGTGAGTGCAGTTTTCGTGGCGCAATAAGTTACAGTTTAGACACAGAGCATAAAATTCAGGATCGAGTCGCTTCAACGCAGCGTTGGCTGTTTGCTGATCGACGCCGGCTTTGTTATAGCTCGTGCAGAGTTGAGCTCCACCAGTGTTTGGTCAACGGTACATGTTTCCCACGCTAGGTGGCAGTGCCTTCATTTCACCATTTCCTTTGCTTCACAAGATCTGACGTCTTTCATAAAAAACCTTCGGAATCGGCGGACCCATGGCTTGCACCCTGATGCTCCTGATCGGCTGCACAAATCGACCAGAACTTTCACCACCACCATTGTTGTTCTCTCTTTCGTCAAATGGTGTGCTCACGAGTCGCTGTGACCCCGGATTACAACTATCGGTGCCTGGTTTTGATCCGTGCTCTGCAGCCTTTGCACAATTTTTCTCCGCTTCGTGGGTTGTAAGAAGGGGCGACGCTTTACGCAATGCTATGCCTCACACACAAGCCAAAAGTAGGCGAAATGACAAGTTCGCCTAATCGGACTGCTGGCACACATAGCTTGGAAGTTTAGAACAAAGGGTTACTGTCAAGAGGACGGTTCCGTCAAAAGCATGGCTGATCGGGTTGGGCTGGAATGCCGAAGCTACAGCGTCGGCTGACAGGTATTAAGGCATGCTTTGCTGACCCTGCGCGTAAGCATGGCACCAGCGGGGTGGTATTAAACCTGAATGTCATCATCGGATAACATCTATCTGATGAAATAGAGGACACTTTTCAATCTATAGAGGATACCTTTGGAGCTCCATACAAATATATCTTAAGATCATGAACACATCGGATTGCCCGGTAACCTATAAATCACACCGCTTGAAAAGGTCTTGCCATGACCCCGGTTCGGGGATTTCGCTCTGGCGCCCCATGGGTAATCCGTTAATCACGTTGTCTGGGACGCTGCCCTGGCCTTTTGTCGGAAGCTGAACCTAGCTCCAACTCGCGTTGTGTGGCTTTTCGTGACATGCACATTTCACGTTTCCCGTGTTCTTCGAATGGCGGTAATGCATGCTGACTTTGTAATGCTGCAGGAATGTTACCTGCGATCGAGCAGCTCGTAAGCAAATACCACACAAACAGGCACCAAGGCCTACTCGCGTTCCGTCCTTTGCTGTCAAAATCTCCATGATGGCGACGGTCAGCGGTTGTGCGAATACGTTAGCTCGATGGGGTGTGGCCACTGGCTGGACCGGGTCACTCAGTTTGAAACACCTTGCACCATTCAAATAAACCGCGTCTGATTTGTTCCCGCTGATGACCAATGACTTCAGAAACACAACTTGGAATAGAATGTGTCGCGTTCCCACCGATATTCTATGACGACGCCATTTTTCTGCAGAGAGAAAGAGAAGTGGTTTAAATTGCAATGCTGTTTTATGAAACCCATCAGCCACGGTACTTACAGTACACCGTCCCCTGTCATCCGCTCTGTGCTGCATCACGATAAAATACCCGGTGGCCCGCCCTCCTCTCCAAGCTGCACACCACACCAGCCAACAGCGTCACCGTGTCACCCGACCAGAGTACTTCGATGTCGGTGAGACCTAGCGGTGATCCGCGGGGGACGACCCGTGAGGTTCTCAGCTCCTCACCAGTCTTCGGTGTCCGGCTCCCGCTGCCGCCGCCGGAGCCCGCCGGCCGGCGACGGGTACGGCCGCGAGCTTCCTGCTCGGCGGCGCGGCGCCAGGGCTGACCCTGCACCATGACCCCCACCGGCACGACGACAGCGAACCCAGAGACGTCCGGAGGTGAGGGACCGGTCCGCCCGTCCCTATCTCTGCCGGTCTGTGCAGTCGGCGTCGCCGCGACATGTCGTAGCCGGCGCCCCAGGCTGGCCGTGCTGGGCGTGCGGGACCTTTTTAGGACCAGCGACCGGTTGAGATGCACCTCTGCCTGCCCGGTCAGGTTAGGGCACGCGGGATGACCGGCAGCGTTCCGGGAGTCGGACCGGCGGGCGACCTTGAACCGTGACGGGGGGGGGGGGGGGGGGGAGCGCTGACCGCTAACGCCACGCAGTAATTCCGTGCTGAGTCAGTCATACTGGGTATCCCGGGAGCAATGGTCGGCAAGATTTGACTTCGAAATCATGCGGTGAGCACCAGGATCCCCTTGTTGATTTAATGAGTGCGCGCCTTGCCATTATGGTTTTACCATGCCCATGTATGCGATCGCATCCCACCCTCTCTTCTTCAGTTAGCATCAACATACTCAGCTGAAGAACAAAACGCATTATTTTGTCTGCAAAGGCGTGCAACTTGTGCCGTCATCAACTTTTTTCCTTGCATAAATGAAGACACAAGCAGCCAGTTCGTTAAGTTAGTTTCATAAAGCGGAACTAAAATATACGCCATTTGAAGTCACCCGGTATGTGCGTATGAATCAGAAGCAGCTGTTTTGTTCCAGAATGCGACATTTATACCATAAAAAACTGCGCACGGCGCACTCTCGTCCTGCGTACCCGCATCTTGCAGAGCTCAAAATAGACCTCATCCGGTAACCGACGCGATCAATTCCCTAGAGATTACCTGGGGTAAGTCCTCATGATCCCAATCGTCTGGTGACTGAACCCGCTGCAAGCGCGGACCGAGGATCCGACCGCGGCGCGTTCTGAGCCGTCACCCCACGCACGGCCATGTTGGATTAGACCACGGACGTGCTGGCACAAAACCTATCCCACGGTTCAAGATCAGAGAGCCCGTAAGACCAGACCAAGGCGCTTGTGAGACCTGAGGCCAAAACGCTTGTGAGACCAGGAACCAAGGCGCTCGTGAGATCCGAAGCCCAAGCGTTTGTGAGATGAGAGACCAGAGCGCTTGTAATACCAGACCAAAGCGTTCGTGAGACAAGAAACCAAAGCGGTTGTGAGACCAGAGGCCAGAGAGATTGCTTGTGCTCGTGCGAGACTGCAGCAACGGTCGGACAGACCTAAGAGAGGCTTTAGATATGTAGAATAGAACGTCCTACTGGAGCCGTCTCTGCACCGTGCTTGTTTATCAAAAGCGTGATCTGCCCCACGAATACCAGAACGCGATATCCTAAGCCCAGGTTATGCAAGTCAGCGACTATCGATCTCCATAAGCCTGTTTGCACACCAGCAGCTCGTGCACGACTCCAGTTGATCCACATCCCGGCACGTCGGAGCCACTCACCACCTCCCGCTGATCCCTCCAAATTACATGCAAGCACTGCAACGCTTCCAAATAAATCAGTCGTGCACGCAGTCAGGCCGACACGCCCTCAACATGCTTGACATCGAAGTATTTTTTTGAAAAACCGACTTTAATTCCTGAGTCTCCTCGACCGCAAACGAGGGTTGAACTACACGTTGCAACGGTCCCATGCCGCGGACAGTCCTCCGGACGACAGCGATCTTTGCCCGGACAGCCTTCCGGACAACAGCAAACTTTGCCCAGACAGCCCCCCGCACAACAGCGATCTTTGCCCGGACAGCCTTCCGAACAACAACGATCTTTGCCCGGACAGGTTTCCGGACAACAGCGATCTTTGTCCGGGCAGTCTTCCCGACAGCAGCGATCTTTGCCCGGACAGCCTCCCGGACAACAGCGATCTTTGCCCGGACAGCCTTCCGGACAACAGCGACCTTCGCCACAGCGGCAAGCCAAACGCCGAGCGAAACGCATACCAATATATTGGTCGGGATCACAGGACAGTAAGACGCGGATGCCCTGCCACCTGGCGGCGCTATGTAACTGTCGCCTCCTGGGCGGGTGCCTCGCTGCCGTTCTCCACCGCGGGGGCCGGGGCCTCCGCCGCCGCCGCAGGGGCCGGGGCCTCCGTCGTCGCCGCCGCCGGGAGAGCTTCTGCGGCGGCCTTCTCGAGAGCCCGCGCCTCCGCGAACTTATTCTTCTCTGCAAAGGTCAGCGCGCGTGAGAGGAGTCATCTACGCAGAGCGCCGCCCGGCTGCGACATCTGGTGGCGGTGTTTGTTGGCTTTTGACAACGAGACGTCTAGGACCAAATGCATGGTGGACATGCGAAATGCAAATCTTAATTAACTCCCTGGGGAGTGGAGAAGCGAAACGTGGAGAGGTCTCACAATCATGGAACGGTCGCACGAGTGAGCACGTTCTAACCCGGTGTATCTCAACCGAACCAAAACGGGAGTTGCAGCCCACAGCCCACAGGCAAACTGTACTGGTCTAGGAAAGACAGCTGCCCGAATTTATGCGCCGGCGTCTGCAGCGCACAGTGCCGCCAAATGCCTTGCGCCACGACATGCCAATCCCGCAGACATCTAGCTTCGAGATGTCGCCATGATAACTCAGACACGGAGTGCACGCACGCGATGTTTGCAGTCTCGCCGGCAGCCGTCCTTGCCCATCAAGGCACCTTTACTATACAGATCGCTTTTACCTACGCCCTTGCGTGTCAATATCTCCTACAAACTACACGTGAGGTGTTGGTCAGTCAGTAAGGCCGTAGCTGGGTTCGGCTTCTCACTCTGTGCGTGGCACGCTCGCACCCGCCGTCGCCGGCCGCTGACAGGAGACGGCGCGGCTCCGTCCCGATCAGCTTACGGGGACCGGCGACCGACCACGCCTCACTTGCCAGCCGGTGCTGCCCTCCCGTCACCTCAGCCCGCACGCCCCGCCCGTGACGCTGACAGGACCGGAGGGCGCGACGCACCCTCCGGGTACACGGCGCCCGGGCCGCTGCTGGCTACACGACACCCGGACGGGCCCGGCCGTACCGTATTTGGATGTGTCGGCGCCGAGCAGACGCAGGTAGTGGATGCGCTCGTTGCGCTGCACGTAGGCGCGCACCGAGGTGGCGCCCTTCCAGCCGACCACGTGCGTGCGCACCAGGCGGCCCGGCGACACGGCCGAGTCCACCAGCAGGGCGATGGCGCCGGCACCTGCGGCACATACCCGGCGGTGAGGCGGTCACAACGGCGGCGTCCCAGCGTCCGTCGGCACAGCATCGGTACCCGAGCTGCGGGGCATCCCGCAGTCACAGCAGCGACGCTCACACGCGTCGCTCGCAGACCGCCACATCGGGGCTGTCGTCTGTCAGAGTACAAAGTCGTGACAGCTCGGGCCGGCGGCAGGTCCGTGATGGGTCCACTCGCGCGAGTCCGGCCAACTCCCACCGACCTGACTTGGCCATCTGCTCCTGGGTCGCCGGGTCGAGCAGTGTGAACTCGGCCGGCAGCTCGATGTCGTCGTACTGCAAGATCTTGCCCAGGTCGGCGGCCGTCACCTGCACCTTCCGCTTGGTCAGGAACGGCAGGATGGCGTCCGAGCCCTGCGCGGCCCCAGCGCACGTTAGCACGGCGGCGGGTGGCGGCGCAACGGGTCACGAGGCAGTGACGCAAACACCTGAACTTCGCCAAGCGTGTCTGAGCAGAACCGGCTTCCTCGCAAGTGTGACGTCATCACGGTGTAGAGGTAACCCCGGGTGTACCTGTAGTTAATAGATACCTTGAGCAGAGCACATCCCCACACACAGGAGATGCAGGAAATTTATGATTGCTTTCGGTTTGCAGGAAACTCTGGCAACTCATATTCGTCGTGCTTGACTACAACAGTTCAGGTACTTGACTAGGGAAATCGATCTCGTAAAACAGAATCAAGGCCGTTGTCGCTGTTCGGGAATAATCCCGGAATGTCGGTACCTCAAGGCTGCAAACGTCAAAACAGCGTTAAACTACCCTGCAGGTACGATATCTCGGAACAAAATGCTATCGTTGCGGCATTGCTACACAAACATCAATTGATGAGGAGCCGGAATAAAACACCGCAGGCCTCCAAGACCAATAAGACGCCGAATCTCCCGGCACTAAGACGGGCGCGAGCCCGCCTTCCCAGGGACCCCCACCACAACCGTCAGATAGACCCCTCCACACACACACCTTCCCAGGGACCCCGACCACAACTGCCAGATAGACGCCTCCACACACACACCTTCCCAGGGACCCCCACCACAACCGTCAGATAGACGCCTCCACACGCACACCTTCCCAGGGACCTCCACCACAACCGCCAGATAGACGCCTCCACACACACACCTTCCCAGGGACCCCCACCACCACCGTCAGATAGACCCCTCCACACACACACCTGCCCAGGGACCCCCACCGCAACCGTCAGGTAGACCCCTCCATACACACGCACCTTCCCAGGGACCCCCACCACAACCGTCAGATAGACCTCTCCACACACACACACCTTCCCAGGGACCTCCACCACAACCGCCAGATAGACGCCTCCACACACACACCTTCCCAGGGACCCCCACCACAACCGTCAGATAAACGCCTCCACACACACACCTAACATCCCGCTCTTTGACCACACCATCGTGCGCATCGCGTCATAGCACCCTCCTCTCCCAATAAACGACGACTGTTTCCAGTTGTTTCCGTTCATCAGACCGTTTCGCGCCCAGGCCGTGCAAGCATTACTCCGTGTTAAAATTGCGTCACCCCCAGCGCCCGCGCTGGTCACCCACCTCCTGCGCGAGTCGGAAGCCACAGGGCGTGTTCTTGTTGTCGCAGCGGGCGAACACCTTGACGCCCGAGTTGATGACCTTGACGCGCTGCTGGCTGGCCGAGATCAGGTCCCGCACGGCCGGCGAGCACAGGTAGATGTTCTTCTTCTTGCCCTGCTCGCAGCGCGTCATCAGCAGCGACGGCTCGAACGCGTCGCTCAGGCCGTAGAAGTCACTGCAGGCAGGGCGCCCGACGTGGGAAGGAGGCCGGAGAGGGATGGAGGAGCCTCGGGCCTGCTGGCTGGCCAGGGAAGGCCGAAACTCGACTTGCAAGTCCCTTTTCCGCACGCGTGCGGGAGTCGCTAATGCAAAAGAATCCGTGTGGCTGCCTGGGCACGTTGTCATTCACCCTGTTTGTTCCTACGCACCTTAGCACCATCCATGCTTCTTAGGATAGAGTAATAATGCACATCAACAGTTACGTATAGCGGCACGCTGGTCAGCTGGGCAGCGGACCCGTTCTACAACATAGCAAACAGCTGGAAAGCAGGCACCACGGTGAACACATTTTGCAAAACTGCAAATAAAAATGAGCGCTAAACTACCCCACACATCAGAAGCCGAGGAGCTTTACCAATCACCCCGGTCTCCGGAGAACGTGATGACGACGGAACGAGAGACAAGACGGACCCCTCCTCGGCCGACTCACTCGAGCTCCTGCAGCATGGGGTCGCCCTTCTTGACGAAGAAGTACGGATCCTCCTTATAGCCGCGGATGCGCCGCGCCTTCTTCTTGGGCGGCGGTCCGTCGGGAGCGGGCGGCGTCTCCTCGGAGGCGGCGCCGGCGTCCGCGGCGGCCGGCGCCGCCTCGCGCGGGGTCTTGCCCACCTTCTGCAGCACGGCCAGGAAGAAGCCGCCCGTGTTCTGCTGGTGCGGCAGGATCCGGATGCTGGAGACGGCACGCGGCGCCTCAGACACGCGGGCTCCGAGCGCGGCCGGAACACCGACCGGTCACGCGGCAGGCACTCGCAGGACACACACGCTCGTGGACCGGGTCACGACATCGTCCCGGCGCGGAGACGTCGTCCACCGATCCTGGTGACCGGTGCACATCACACTCCACCTGAGACTCCCGGACCGCACTGGACACGTCAGGCGGCCGGCCTACACCTGCCTCATCTATCCTGCCCGAGCGACGCAAGACGAAACCACCATCGTTTTCTGCTGACGCCGAGAGCTGCTAACGCCGGCGCTACTCCAACAGCATCCTGACCATACACGTCTGCCGCGCCGCCGCGTCCGCCGCCTGGCCGCAGCCTCCCTCCACACGGCCCGCTCCCCCGCGCCCGCCGCCTGGCCGCAGCCTCCCTCCTCACGGCCGGCTCCCTCGCGTCCTCCGCCTGGCCGCAGTCTCCCTCCTCACGGCCGGCTCCCTCGCGTCCTCCGCCTGGCCGCAGCCTCCCTCCTCACGGCCGGCTCCCCCGCGTCCTCCGCCTGGCCGCAGCCTCCCTCCTCACGGCCCGCTCCCCCGCGCCCGCCGCCTGGCCGCAGCCTCCCTCCTCACGGCCCACTCCCCCGCGCCCGCCGCCTGGCCGCAGCCTCCCCCCTCACGGCCCGCTCCCCCGCGCCCGCCGCCTGCCCGCAGCCTCCCTCCTCACGGTCCGCTCCCCCGCGCCCGCCGCCTGGCCGCAGCCTCCCTCCTCACGGCCCGCTCCCCCGCGCCCGCAGCCTCCCTCCTCACGGCCCGCTCCCCCGCGCTCGCTCGCCGGCCGGCTCACCACTTCTTCAGCTCGTCGTTGGGTCCGGCCGGTGGGAACATGTGCGGCCGGATGAGGGTGCGGTGCTCGGGCGCAATGCTGTCGCCGCTCTCATACAGCTTCATGTCCTGCGGCGGCGGCGGAGGTCGGAGGTCACGCCGCCGTCCCGATGCGGCGCGCGCGGTCCGTCACCGGCGCCATCACGTCAGGGATCACGGGTCATCGTCATCCGCGCCAATACACAGCCGGGGTGGGCAGAGCGTGTCAGGTGGGGCCGCTTGGCACGAACAAGATCCTTTGGAACTTGACAACAGGCCCAGGCGAAACAAATTTATCTGGTATTCACTAACGAGGTGGCGGGATCGCGTCTTTATAACGGGATATGTTTGGGAAGCATCCTGATCACGAGACGACCAACACCAGACATCTGATCACATCTGATCCAATCTGAAAAAGCCTCTACAGCATTCCAAAACCTATAGTTCTGGCTAAGAAACGGGGAATGCTTTCTCCGCTCCTAAACCCAAAGTCACAGACCTGACTGACGGTCTCTGACTTAAATGCTGCAGCCATTTCCAGAACAGTGGTGATGATTTCAAGACGGCGACATCGCTGGCAAAGGTTTCAAATACCGAAATGCCGAGGCTCAAAAACATAACACCGCATAGAAAAGGTCGACGGCGCGGCACAGACAAGACCCACCGCAAAACCGTAATCAATGATATGCCGGGCCGGCACGAGGGTGTCTGACCTTCGAGTAGAGCACCCAGTGAGTGAGCCCAGGGCTGTACTTCAGGCCAGGGAGGTCGGACGACACGTCCACCAGCTGCACGGCGCCTGCGAAACGCCGCAGCACCCAGTCCGTCAACACCCCACCGAGTGACGGGAGCGAGGCGGGCATGGTCTGCCACAGTGAAGAGATGCCGGCTGGCAGTGAAGATCACGGGAGAAACGCGTATATTCCGTATAAAACACCGCTGGACGGTCAGAGTACCCTGAGCAGCTATGAAACCCTGCATTACGTGACATTAAATCAGCTTACCACATCAACGCACGGGCTACCTACGGATTCCGAACACGGGCCACAGAGTTACGAGTTCCACAGGTTAAAACCTTCCAGCGGCATCCACGACCTTGCTGCGTGCCGCATCCCCCAAAAGACGAGGAGCGGCCCCCGGGCGCCGCCGGCCGCGGCCGCTCACCGTCCGTGTCGCGCAGTATCCGGCTGACCACTGCCTCGTCCTCGACCGGGTTCAGCGAGCACGTGGAGTAGACGAGCCGGCCGCCCTCGGCCAGCATCTCCAGGCCGCGCATGGCGATGTTGTACTGCAGCCTGACGAGGTCAAGGTGACCGCGTCAGCGGCCACGCCGCCGGTTCAAAGCGCGGGCCCGGCGCACGGCGACAACGTCCGTCTCCAGGTGATCCGGTCAAGCTCACTTACATGTCGGACCAGAAGAGCGACGTGCTGGGTTCATGCATGGCGCGTCGAGACGAACAGCCGGTATCACGAATCACGTATCATCACGGTGCCACGCATCACGGGATCACGGTATCACGTGCTGGAATACCCAACGCCTGGCTAAAACATCACGTTACGAATACTCAATGCGACTTGACCCCCGCAAGCGACCTAACACGTGCGAAGGCCTCACCAACCCATTTAAAAATAAAAGACAACAACCCTTCGGCACCCCAGAGGTGCGCTCACACCCCGTGCCATGCCGGGCCGGTGGCGCCCCGCCCGGCGACCGGCCGGGCCTCTCACCCGTGTAGGTTGCAGCCGTTGGCCGGGTTCCACTTGGGCCAGACGTCGACGTTCTTCCGCATGGTGCCGTCCCCAGAGCATGGCACGTCACACAGGATCCGGTCAAACTGCAGGCGACGCTCGGCGCCATCCGGCCCTGACGGACGCAGGTCAGGTCATCCGGGGTCACGGGTCAAACTGAAGGCGACGCTCGGCGCCGTCCAGCCCTGACGGACGCAGGTCAGGTCATCCAGGGTCACAGGCCAAACTGCAGGCGACGCTCGGCACCGTCCGGCCCTGACGGACGCAGGTCAGGTCATCCAGGGTCACGGGTCAAACTGCAGGCGACGCTCGGCACCGTCCGGCCCTGACGGACGCAGGTCAGGTCATCCAGGGTCACGGGTCAAACTGCAGGCGACGCTCGGCACCGTCCGGCCCTGACGGACGCAGGTCAGGTCATCCGGGGTCACGGGTCAAACTGCAGGCGACGCTCGGCGCCATCCGGCCCTGATGGACGAGGGTCAGGTCATCCAGGGTCACGGGTCAAACTGCAGGCGACGCTCGGCGCCATCCGGCCCTGATGGACGCAGGTCAGGTCATCCAGGGTCACAGGCCAAACTGCAGGCGACGCTCGGCGCCATCCGGCCCTGATGGACGCAGGTCAGGTCATCCGGGGTCATGGGTCAAACTGCAAGCGACGCTCAGCACCATCCGGCCCTGATGGACGCAGGTCAGGTCATCCAGGGTCACGGGTCAAACTGCAGGCGACGCTCGGCGCCATCCGGCCCTGATGGACGCAGGTCAGGTCATCCGGGGTCATGGGTCAAACTGCAAGCGACGCTCAGCACCATCCGGCCCTGACGGACGCAGGTCAGGTCATCCGGGGTCACAGGTCAAACTGCAAGTGACGCTCGGCGCCGTCCGGCCCTGACGGACGCAGGTCAGGTCATCCGGGGTCACGGGTCAAACTGAAGGCGACGCTCGGTGCCATCCGGCCCTGACGAACGCGGGTCAAGTCATCCGGGGTCACGGGTCAAACTGAAGGCGACGCTCGGTGCCATCCGGCCCTGACGAACGCGGGTCAAGTCATCCGGGGTCACGGGTCAAACTACAGGCAACGCTCAGCGCCGTTCGGCCATGATGGACGCGGATCAGATCATCCGGGGTCATGGGTCAAACTGCAGGCGACGCTCGGCGCCGTTCGGCCCTGATGGACGAGGGTCAAGTCATCCAGGGTCACATGTCAAACTGCAAGCGACGCTCGGCGCCATCCGGCCCTGATGGACGCAGGTCAGGTCATCCGGGGTCATGGGTCAAACTGGAGGCGACGCTTAGCGCCGTTCGGCCCTGATGGACGCAGGTCAGGTCATGCAGGGTCATGGGTCGAACTGCAGGCGACGCTCAGCACTGTTCGGCCCTGATGGACGCAGGTCAGGTCATCCGGGGTCATGGGTCAAACTGAAGGCGACGCTCAGCGCCCTCCGACCCTAATGGACGCAAGTCAGGTCATCCAAGGTCACGGGTCAAACTGCAGGCAACGCTCGGCACCATCCCGCCGTCAGTCGGCACCATCCGGCCGAGACAGTCAATCTTGGCCCTGGGTCAAAATTGACTGTACTAAGATTCGGTGCCTCTCGGACCAGACTCAGGTCATCATCCATGTTGCAGCAGCAGCCACACCAGTAGCTGCAGCGCATTGTACGAAACTCCGCAGCCACTGTGGCATTCAGGTTAGGGGCCACGACGTTTCCAGAGGTCAGCAGACCTTAACTCGACCCCCAACCCCGCTCGTTCTGCTCACCGTCCGCCGTATACATGTTGGGCATGTTGGCCGCGTCGTGGTTGGTGATGCAGAAGCAGGGACTCTGCATGCGCTTGGCCTGGTGCACCAGCATGTAGCAGCGTTTGTTGTCGGCATCGTTGGCCACCACCATGCCGGAGGGCATGCTGCCCTCCTCGCGGTGCAGCGCCTCGATCAGCTGAGCCGTTTTGGAGCCGGGTGCAGCGCACATGTCCAGCACCTGGCGGGCGCGCTGGCCGCTGTCAGCGCCGCCCGGCGGCCACGGAACGAGACACAGACCAGCAGAACCTAACGGCTCAGTAACACTGGGGAGACAAACGATATGTAGATGAAACCATGTTACCCAAAGACGTGATATATGTCCTGTACCGTTACCATCACGGTCGGATTGTGGTGACAACATTGTTGTCATTGTTGATAATGGTGACAACATCGTTGTCATTGTTGACAATGGTGACGACATTGGTGACAACATTGTTGACACTCAGAGTCGACACTGTTAACTGGGCACACTCTTTTAGATCAATTAATGTCATCTATTCGCGCGACGAATGACTGCATTTGACCAAAAGATCATGCTATAGAAAACTTCTGATATTACCCACTTGAAACAATGGTGGGACTATCCAAACATCTGTTTGTAAAGACTGATATGAGGAAGGACCGGCGAGATCACAGCCGGCCCATAGCGTTACGGACTTAGAGCGTCACGTCCTCACCGCACAACAGCGACGCTTTCGCAGCGGCCAGATAGACCGCTCTTTTTCGTGGATAGTGATGCAAACTTCGCTTATAAAGCAGACAGATTCAGATAATCCATTGAACCAAGGAAAGATGTGGTGGTAACCCAGTTATTGGCGAGCACAGTAGCGAGCAAACACAGGCGGGCAGGGTACAGACCGTCACATCCAATCGCAGCGCCGAACCCATCCCCTGGATCCCTCGGATCATGCCGTCGAATCACCCGTGCCTACTGGAACCTACGGACACTGATGAGAACCCGGTCGCCCTGCGCCCTGGACGAACCCGACAGGTGGCACCACGAGCGCTGCCCCGCGGCCCACCCTGATGCGGCGCCGGTGCCCTTCGCAAGCGCGTCACTGGCGTCAGCCCCGGCCAGCCCCAGCCGGCTGACCTTGTGATGCGGCTGGACGTCCAGCACCAGCGGCGGGATCATCGACACCGTCTCCTGGCGGCTGATGTTGCCGCTCTCCGTCTCCGAGATCAGGAAGTTGTGCAGCTTGTGGTACGCCTCAGACTTCCTGGGAGGTCAGCGAGGGACAGCGAGAGGGGTCAGGAGACGGCAGCGCCCGAGACGCGGGCTTGAGCGGCCGGGGGACACGGCCACTCCATCGACGGCGACCGGACAGTCAGCACAGACGCGCATGGAGGGACGTCTTTGGCGCGACGTTCAACGTCAAAGCTCGAAGGCACAAGACATCGAGAGTGCGATTATTGACGGATGACGTTAAGTTAAGCCGATGACAATAATATCGAAATGTAGACCGAAAGGAAAAACGGCGTTCCACATATTCGTAGCAACACCCATTCATTTGATGATGCATAATCCCGATCACATGGACGGCTTGGTTGCGAGTGGGGACTGACACCATGACGCACACCCCGACAAGTGAGCGCGGAACCCAACAAAGCTATCCTGCAGGGCGGGCGGCACGTCAGAATCACCTGATGTCAGTGCGGGTGAGATTCAGCTGGTAGGCCAGCTTGTCTGGGTACCAGGGGAGGCAGACATGCTTCACGGCTGGGTCGTCGCCGGCACCCTCCTGCTTCTCCACCAGCTGTGGGCGATCAATTCTCGCCACATCACCCGTCGCGTCGTGGCCGAAGCTCCCACGCTCGCCAAGCCGCTTCCGCGTATCAGTGCGGTAATCTACCACAACCGAACTCGTATTGGCCGATATTAGACTACTATAGAAAAAACACAACAACGTTGCATGCGTGGCACGTCATCGCTGCTGCGATTAGAAATGGTGCAAACGCTGCACTTAACTTGACATGGAATCCCCCGGGCAAGGCGCGGGTAAAAGTCTCCCAGACAGAGCACACACAGAGCAGTGTCTGCATCGCGGTACACGCCACCCTCTACAGGGTCCCGCACGATCCGCATCTCCCTCTACAGGCTCCCGCGCGGGCCGCGCCGGTACCGACCTTGAGGAAGTCGTCCTGCACGATGGCGAGCAGCGCCTGTGACTGCGAGCGCGTACCAGTGACGCGGAAAGAGGCCGGCAGCGGGTCCCGCAGCGTGGCCATGAACTGGTCCCACTCCCCGACCGGTACCACCGCCTGCTTCTACATGGGGGGGGGGGGGGGGGGCGTCACGTCTCCGGTCATGCCTGGGCTGTAAGTGATGGGTCATATGTGATGGGGGAGGGGGAACTGCTTACATTGACAAGTTCTTATCTGGAGGCAACTTTCAAACCAAAATGGGCAACTTTATGCTATGCTGTTCTTCAGTAATTAAAGACTTAGTCCAAACAGAGGAGGAAATATTTGGTGTCAGGCAAAAGTGTATGACCCTCCAGTGCATTTTTCAATTAAAAACAGTCCAATTTGGGGTGCAGCTTGCAACAGCCTGCTGCACCTGAACAGCCTCAAGCATCAGGAACAAACAACAGAATATTGGAACAATCCATGGATACAATTCACAGTGAAAACTAACAGTCTGCACAATGCAGTCATTGCTGAAATTTTTGCAATCAAATGTGAGCATAATTAAGAATAAGGACATGCAAAAAATGGATAAGATTTTAATAAATGGCAAATCTAATGTATGAACTTAGTTTTGGCAGAATCACACAATTCATTACATAAATATCGCCATGATTTGTGAAACAGAAGCATGGTGAACAAATAATAATTGCTAGCCACTACCTTGTAGAACTCCTCAAACATTTTGTTTTCCTTCACTATATCTTCATAGCCAGCCCCACGGATTGGACGTCCACCCTGTGAAAAATGGGTGGACACATCACAGCGGGATTTGCATGAAAGCCCACATGAAGGCCTGCATGGTTTGGTTCACACAGTTCTCCAATTGAGCAACTTAACAATTAAACTGTCGAACACATTCCAGCCAGGAAACCCAACCACTGCCACCAATAAATGTGCATTCAAATAATTCATAGTACTGCAACATGAAGATATAACAAATATTAGGCAGGTCACAGTGAAAAATAAACATGTACCTCATCAAGTGTTGACTTTCCATCTTGAGGCTTCCTTTTGTTTCTCCACTTTTTACCCATTTTCTGCAGGCATCAGCATATTGTCAGTACCAATTAATAAAATGGCTGATCTATATTTATAGACAACAAAAAAAAATACCACCAGAATTTAACATTACCAAATGCTAGAAGACAAGGCAGGGCCATATACACTAATTATTGTCAATCAGAGAATCAATTCTTGATTCAGCCCACCAAACAGACAGTTTTCAGCAGCCTTTGCAATACACAGAGCCTTAGCACTTTACAGTTTTCCCAAAACACTGTTTTCTGTTCATTGTCCAGCAAATAACAGTTTTCAACTGTAACCACACACAACAATTTTCTGTATTACTGATTTGACTGTATTACTGATTTGACATGCAAGTATCTCATCAATGAACATTAATGAGCACCAAATGTTCACTATAGGTTACTTAAAACAGCTTCTATCAATAGTTAGCAATAGTTTGCTCTTTACATGGGCAGTCACACAGTCAGATCCTTGTTGGACACAGCAGTTTTTTATTTAGGTACCTATAGTGTCACACATAAATTGTGTTACACAGTCTTATAACTGTGCCATCCATGTGTATATTACAGTGCGGTGTTGATTTGACTTTTGCAGCTTTCCTGGTTCGGACCATTCACTCAAACAAATTCGGAACAATGAATCATCAATAACTGTCAACTTACAGCTGCTTAAGAAGAGCCGGGTCTAAAAAGGAAAATGACACGGTATATGTTCAATAATTGTGAAAATACTCTGACTGACTGCGTGAGGGCCCATAACCTTACCTAGATCAGAATAGTTGTCGAACAATAAATTTCGATTTAAATAATAACCCAATCTAACCTACCTCTCTGATGCGGTAACCAGCCGCACACTTCCCGAGCACGGAAATATATCGCCCAATGCCCAAGCCACCAAAGCTTGACGCTAACACGCCCGCGCGCGTGTTCGTGTGCAAGGTAAGCCGCACGATGTGGTGAAAGGTCACAAGTGCGCAGCTCTCGCCGTGAACAAGGGGGTAAGCACGACATCCACAGTGGGATCAAGAATTGCGGTGAACTCATTTCTTTTTCTTGCTGATAAATGCTAAATCAAAGCTAAAATTCTTTCATACCTATCAATCCTAATTACTAGACACCATATCCCGATTCATTTTAAAAACAATTTTGTCACCAGTGGATGTAGTTGTTTGATGCTCTCTATCATGGTTCACTTAAACTGCTGCTACAAAACTGTTGAGGTATAAAAATTCCCTTTGCAGTTCATACTCAGAGCCCCTTAACCGACGCAACCTTAAATGATTGGCTGCAATAAAAAATAGTGTAGATAATGAATATGAATTATTTAGAAATCGATTAGGATCAGTAAACTGTGGCCCCACTTCTGGTACTCCGCCCATTTCTCCAAACACTCTGAACCAGCCCTATTCTGATCACAAATTTTCGGCCCCCCGGCCCGCATCTCCAGTGAATGGGTGGCTAGCATGCTGGTGTTCCACGCGATAACCCCGGGTTCGAATCTAAAACCACGGCCGCCGTCCAGTTGGTGGCTTCATGGTCTATCGGTGTGGCGTGATGGTGCCAACTCGCTTTACGTCTAAGCGGAATTAATTCTAATTTGGACTTTTCATACCGAACAGCAGCGTAGTCTCTCATGTCAGAGGGAGGACTAAATATAAAGAGAACTCCGCCCCTCTAGGTGGCGGGAGTCCACACGCTACAGAGATATTGAGGATTCCGTGAACGTTGACCGTAAATCTAAATGAGGTCAGCAACTTGTGTAAACATTGATTGAAAATGTGTAATGCTTAAACGTTATGTGTAATGCAGTGTGTAAAATGTGTAAATATTAGTGAAAAGTTAGGCGAACACGACCCTCCCGGGCAGTTGCCTCAAGATCATTCCGCCCCAGTCCGGAGTGTCTACCAGCTGCCAATCCGGCGACATGGAGGCGGGTTCGCCTGATGAGTTCGTCCGGGAGCCCTCACAGATGTACGCCCTACATTGGTGCCCTCCCTGGCGCGGAAGGCCCTTTGGCGGCTTCTGGCCGGGGAATTTGACCCGGAATAGGCGCAGGGGCCTTCATTGGGGCAACAAGATCTCTGATAACCTCATGTGATCCAATAACTGGCACAGAGACCCGTATTTGGCCAACGGACCCCTGGCTAAAACGGGGTGAAGGGCCCCACAAGTGCCCCGGGTCACCCCTGGCCGACTCGTGACACCTTCCGCCACAGGACCCCCTGTTAGACACTCTCGGGGCCTGACCGTCAAAAGACCACTCATTGTTGTAGGGACTCCGACCAATGCAAACCGCGGACCTCGGTCTCGTTCCTGCTAGATAAATGGGGCCCCAGAGCTCAGAACAATACGGAGTCAGCTATTCGGTGTGGTGGTCTCCGGCCGAAATAGGTGCCCGCACTGTCCCAGGGGTCCACAATCGGTGAAAGAGACATATTGGCTGACATTTGGGATCACAGCCATACGGGCCAGGATGACCTACAGCCTTTCAGCCCTTACGGCCATTTAGCCTTCCCATCGGCCCGTTTATCGTCAGTCTTGAAGGGCACATCGGTCCCTCTTCAGGCACCCCCGTACACTGCCTGGCCAACTCGGGAGCCCTTGTCAACACCGGACCTCCGGTTAAGCGCTGTGTGTCCCTGGCCGACACAGGGGCCCCTCATTGGCTCGGGGTGCACTGACCGATGTAAATTGCGGGTCCTGACCTTGTCCCTGCTTGGGAAATGGGCTCCCAGGCCCAGGCCGGGACCCAATCAGTGCAACGGGCCCTTTGGCTGGTAGCTGAGGGTCCAAACCGCGCCCGCTCAATGACCTCTAGCCAGCCCTTCGGGTCCTATATCGGATTTACGGTGTTACCATTTGAGATTTCGTCGTGGTCACCTGAATGACACTTCAGAGCTCCTGCCTCGTGTGAGTTCCAAGTACTAGGCGCACGTACACATCTACACAGATGGCTCCAGATGGCTCCAGATCTAAAACAATCACTGGATGCGGTGCTGTCTCTCGCGAATGAACAAAGTATCTTGTATTGTCATAGCGCTGTTCAGTATTCACCGCTGGGCTTTGTGCTATCAGAGAGGCGTTGGTGTATGCAGATGAACGGCATGGGAACTATATCTGATACTATCTGGCTCTCTTATCGGCATTTCAGCTATTTTACTTCTAAACACAGACAGCGCCTTGGTCGGCCAAGTCCTTCGCCAACTGTTTTCAATTAAACAGAGCGGAAAGCAAGTGTTCTTTGCTTGGGTACCCGGGCACAGTGGGCTGGCAGGAAATGGAATGGCCTGCACCGCTGCTAGAGAGGGTGCAGCCGGCAGCTGGCATCGCTCAGCTCGGACACCATACCCTGACTTGAAGTAGTTTCTGTCTGCTCATCTTGACGCAAAGTGATGGAAGGCCAGAGACCAGGTGAGAACAAGCACACGGGGCAACGCTAGAGCCAAACTCATCTCAATAAAAGAAACAGTGGGTGGCAGCGTCTTCCAACGGAGAGCAGGAAGCAGAAGGTCAATCTCTGTCGCCTTGGGGTCATGGGGTCTTGGGGTCATGCAGTTATTTTCTGCCCAGAGGTCGACCTCCGGCGCATCCTCGCTCCGATCACCGACTGTCGCTTGCCACATGCCCATTCAGTGTCACCACCAGTGACCAAACACTTGTATTCGGAGTGGAATACCAATGAACCATCAAAGAGGGGACAAAAGCGTTTGTTTACAGAATGCTTATATAACTTTGGATACACACATGGAAGTTGTCTTCTTTTGCAAGCATGAAAGTGATAACTTCGAGAAGAGCCGTCAATAGCTCATGCAGCTATGGTTCAAGATGATGTTGGTCGCTTACTCGCATTGCAGTGCTATATCCATGTTCTCATTCATCACTGCCTAGAAATGTACAAATCAGTATATTTGGTGTTTCACTTTTCTTACCAGTTCCTCTTGCTCTCACGCCGTACGTTTGCGTCCGTATGCTTCATAACATTGTTGAACATCGCACCCATCGTTAGAACAGATAGGTTGCTATTTGCCGTCACTCAGGTACTCAGGCACTCTCAATGATATTAGTCATATTATAACATGTTGGAGAATCTTTTGCAAGTTTATTTTCGCTCCCATTAAATAAATATTACAACTTAATGCTCAATACGCGGTATGACATGAAAGCTTCAGTAATATCCTCCACCTGCGCCTCCAGAAGAGCCACCTCCGTATCCACCGCTTCCTCCAGAGGAGCCGCCTCCGTATCCACCGCTTCCTCTAGAGGAGCCGCCTCCGTATCCACCGTTTCCTCCAGAGGAGCCACCTCCGTACCCACCGCCTCCACCGCCGCCTCCAGAGGAGCCGCCTCCGTAACCACCTCCGCCGCCGCCTCCTCCGTACCCGCCGCTGCTGCCAGCGCTCTGCAGCGTCACCTTGCGGCCGTACTCGTCCTTGACATAGCCGATGACGATGCCTGAGCCGCCGCCGTAGCCTCCGGGGGCGGCCATCACGGCCGTGGCCGCCACGCACACCAGCAGCGCCACTCTCTGGGGAGAGAAGGCAGGTACAGTGACAGGCACGACCGCAGTATGGGAGGAGGTGTTCCACAGGTGGTGACAGGCTCAGCGGAAAGGCGGGGACGGCGGCTGGGATCGGTGACGTCACAAACACTGTTGCACGCACGTTGAGACGGCACAAACCAACAGCAAGATTGTATGTAACCTCTAAAGTAGATATAAAGCTTCTCCATGACAAAAACGCCGTTAGGCCATTGACTCTGGGAGTAACTCACCATCTGTTTCATGTCTGTCGGTGAAGTGACGACTGTGCAGTGTCCCGGCGCCGGTTTTGCTATTTATACCGGCCGCCGTCACCATTACACGACGACCGCGGCCCTGAGTTTATGCGACTCGGGCACCGCAAAACTCGGCCAACTGTAGTTTGTCCAGGGTCAAGGGTGCGCGGCGTAGTGGAAGACAAAGGTGACGATGCCGGGGCCCAGTGGTGCATTCGGTGGAAGCTCCCCTGGAAATTGTAATGAATACGAAGGAGGCTCCTCTGGATACATCTATGGATACTTTGGGGCTTGTCTGGTAATGGTGATGAATGTGGAAAACGCTCTTTTGGAGATTGCTGTAACGTCCAGCATATGAATGATATTAGTAAGGAGACAAGGTAGCCTGAAATATATAGCATGGAATTATACGCCTTCGAAAAATAAAGATACAGCCATCATTTGCTAAGCTCCAGCCACCGTCCAGTCCCGAGGGCGCCTGCCGCACAGACCCTGATTCAAAACGGCGCATGAGTTCCGAAGCGAATTGGACACAATCTGTCAAGATATGACAGCCAAGCAAGCTGAAGGAGGGACTCTTCCAAAGCGCTGCCATCCTGATATACGTTGTCATCTCCCATCGTGTCAGACGAAACTCCGGTGCTCCACTTGCCCTCCAAGCATTGATTGCCATGTCCGAGGACATTCCGAACTGCGATCAAGTGAATACAGCCTCTCAGGTGCCTTCGATTTCTAGCGGTGAAGCGCGACCTGGGATGACGGAGAAACATGAGCACGAGGCAAGTGTCGCAGAGGCAACAGGTCACGGCGGCAGTTTGGTGTCATTAATTCGTAGTGCCAGTCATATACGACCCACCGCCGTATCATGGTGACTAACCCGTTACGTATGCCATACCTCGACCATGGTTCATCTGCGGTGTGTGGCACCTGGAGAGAAAACAACTTCACAGCACGCGAGCAACATCTCTTGATGGTTGTATAAAAGCTGCCTGACTGCCGGAAAGTCCGATTCCTAGTCCGTTCAACCAAAGTATTCCCATGTGGTCCCACACCAGACTCCGAAGACACTTAACCCGTGGGTGGCTTTTTGGCGGCAGCTGATTGGACCGCAGTCTGGTGTGACCAACAATTCGGCGTAATTCGGTGAATTTTCGGCGTTAATTTGCAGTGTTTTTTGTATCTCGGCATGTGCAGTGAACCGTGGTGCATACTCTGGGACTTAATGGTCAGTAAGTCGACTTCAAATTAGGAAGATCTCTTCCATTGACAAGAACTAGGCCAAGGTGTCTTGCACGACACCCATGCATTGTCACTGGTCCGCCTCTGCCCACGGCCAGGTGCTTAAGGCGAGAAGCCGGTCGTTCTGCCTGTAGCCACAAGGGGAGAATCACATCTACGGAAACAATAATTCACAGGAACAGGGGGAATGTGAGCACAGGTCGTCCCGGAGTGTGCACAGCGGGCCCACCGGAGCCGACCGATGCACTCATTGGCGCATCGCGGCGTTTGGGTGCGGCGGGGAGCCTCCGGGGACGCGGGCAAGGCTACCCGACACAGCCGTATGGGACGATCGAACGACCACCCGGGAGACCGGCACGACGCGGGCCCCCTAAAGCGGTCAGCCGGAGCCGGCTATCGAGGAGCACTCACGGCCAGTATTGTTTTCCTTTCCCCGTGTTCCGCACCACCTCCCGACCGTACAGAAGCGGCCAGTCATTCATCTACGTCACTGCCCCCCTCCCCCCCACACCATACCGATCGCTTAATACAGGGTGGCCCGGTCAGGTCAGGCCAACGAAATGACCGCCGCCGCAGCCGGAACCAGCCACCACCGCCACCACCGCCGCCTCAGCGCCGCCCCGCCGCTGCCCCCGCCCCGCCCCAGCACCGACACATCCGCCACCCCAGCGCCGACACCGCCGCCGCTATCGCCATCCAGCCGGCAGGCCCGGCAGGGCACCGACCCGGCACACTGGCCTGGCCGGCGCCGCGCCAGCGTCATCACTATCGCCATCACCACAGTTGCCATCCCACCGGCACGCACGATGTGCTTGTGACATATCTTAGATCAAGCTAATACGCGGAGTGAAATGTTGTGGATAACGAGGGCACTAAAGAGTGGTAAAAGGGGTAGGGCATCAGGCCACTTGCACATAAATATATCTCGCATGCATATCTTCTATGCACCTTGCACACACATCCCCTGTGTGTATTGTATATATATATATATATATATATATATATATATATATATATATATATATATTTACATGTAAATACGGAGATGTATATTGCATGCGTAACTTATATCTACGTTGTATGCGTATCTTGCGTGCACCTAGTGTGCGTATCTTGTATGCATCTTATATGCACATGATTAGAGGAAACGTAGGGTTCTAAGCTAAACTCTGTTGATATTAGTGTGGCTTTTGCTCATTTTATCAGTTCATTTCTGTTTATTTCAGTTTCAGTATGTATCACTGCATCGAGCGTGCCCACCCAGAGAGCGGTTCCACGCAGCGCAGTAACGTCACCCTCTGCTCTCTCTCCCTCTCTCTCTATCCCTCTCTCTCTTTCTCTCTCTCTCTCTCCCTCTGTCCCTCTCTCTCTCGCTCTCTCTCTTCTCTCTCTCTCTCACTCTCTCTCTCTCTCTCTCTCTCTCTCTCTCTCTCTCTCTCTCTCTCTCTCTCTATTCCTCTCTTTGTCTCTCTCTCTCTCTCTCTCTCTCTCTCTCTCTCTCTCTCTCTCTCTCTCTCTCTCTCTCTCTTTCTGTATCTGTCTCCATGTCTCTCTTTCTTTTCTCTCTCGCTCCTCTCTCTCTCTCTCTCTGTCTCTGTCTCTACGTCTCTCTTTCTTTTCTCTCTCCCCCCCCTCTCTCTCCACTCTCTCCCTCTCTCTCTCTCCGTGGCACTTCAACACGTGAACACTGCGCGACAGCCCCGCTTCGCTGAGGGGGCAGACATGGGTGAACAAAGGTCAACGTCGGCGTAGCATGTGGTCACACATTTCTTGCATAGAGTACGGTATTCTTACTTTGGTTATTCTGTCATTAGTTTAACTCATCTACTGTTTCGTTCCTTGTTATACGTAATGCTTCCTTGGTCTGCTCTTCTTGTGTCAAAAAGACTCTGCCTTCTATCCACCCTGCTAACGATTCTTCTCAGTCGCTGAGACATTCAACCAGGCTGCATGCTCCCCGGGGAAAGTAAAACTCACATATGCAGGAGGAGATGCATGGAGCACTGGACGCACGTACCGCTTCTGATCCGCAAGTAAAGACGCCCCTTTAGAAGCCACCTCATGGCGCCGAGGACGCTCTTCTATGCCGGCCATGGGAGGCGGCACATACCTTTGCTTGTGGCGGACGGGGACATCCGTATATATATATATATATATATATATATATATATATATATATATATATATATATATGTGTATCAGATTAATCACGAAGGATTTAACCAATCCCATACTCCTGAGCTTTTCACTTAAGCTTCACAAACCTTTGCGCAGTTTATGACCCAAGGTGTGTCTTGCACTCTTAGCACGATCAGACTTATGCAGGTAACCCTTACACACCGTGTTAAGTTTATTGCATCTTTCATCGGCTAAGCTATTACAGTTTTAGCTGGTGGTGAGAGCAGCCACGACTTTTTAATTACGAGTGGAGCGAGGCTTATGGTGCTGCTAGCTGCACAGCTATATGCGAAAAGCATACGATTCTACGGGGAGGCAAACATTCGGGTACACTAACCAATCCAGCTACCGGGTTTGCGCCAAATCACACAACGTACTCCAGTTTTCCTTCTTTCTTGAATCATGTTACAGCGGCGCTCCAGTCCTGCAAAACAGTACTACCTCATTGAAGTTAATATTTTCTGTGATAAGCGAGCGGTGCGTGTAAGCTTTTGTGTCAATTCAACGCGTACCACTTTTTCACGCAGGGGGCCCGTACTACATTTTGCAAGTCAACGTTTTAGCATGCCATCAACGAATTGCATTGATCAATGCATGTGTGGGGTTCAGGCCACAACAATCTGCTTTAATGAAGTACATACAAAGGCACTGTAAAACGACGACGATGTTGAGTTTGTTGTATCTGTGTAACTGTGTTTGCTGTGACCAATAACACATGCAGAAGGGGGTGGGGGGCACAGAGGGCACGTGCCCTCTTAGGCTCCGATTGGGGACCGATTTGGGCTCCAGAGTGCCCGAAAGGCCAGCAGGATGCATCCGACCCGCAGGGCCGGCCACTCCAATGTCAGCCAGAGGGGCCTGCACGCTAATCAGGGGCCCACTGGGTCGATAAGGGCCTGGATTTTGGTCAGACGCAACTAGTAACGCACAGTCGGTTCCGTAGCGGCATGGGCCTAATGCCGTATTTTGGAAATAGGGACAAACCCAGAGCCAGCGATTCACTTTGCTCGGGGCGCCAAAAAGCCTAACAGGGCCCTACGTTGTCAGGAGCCCCGATTCGGCCAGCGGCAGTATTCGAGAAGACCCAGAGAGCCTGGAGGGCCCATCGGGTCCGAAGATCAATGGCCCTATTGGAGGGACTAAAGGCACAGAGGGCTGGTCGAAGTCTTGTTCAGGGGCCCCGACCTACAAAGATCCACCCTCAAATAACCGTCAGAGGGCCCTCTGTGCTGATCGGGGACCCCTGGGCCGATATGAGCCCACATGTAGGTCAGCTACCA